AGGTTACACGCCGATTTTCTGATTTTGGAACAGATTTAGGTAACACTTTATTTTGATAGTCCATAGTTAACACTCTATAAGTCATCAGTTGACATTTAGTAGCATGTCAACAGTGCATCAGTTGACATGTGTCAGTTGACATTCAACAGCATCGTTCAAACCGACAAGTAACTAAGCATTAGTTGATGATCAACAGATGAGCAACTAAAGTTCTGTTGACTATTACATTAAGCATTAGTTGATGATCAACAGATAAGCAACTTTAGAGTTTAGTTGACTATCTGTTAATCGTCAACTAATCTAGAGTTGACTATTAGTATACTTTTAGTAGGTTTTCCACTTAGCGTTTGTAGGCATGTGTTAGGACTATCCAATTAAAGTGAAAAACAGTTGAGAACAGTAGAAAGTCTATAACCTATCAACAGAACACATACATTCATCCACTGATGATATGCAACAGACAAAAGCGAAATGTTTTGCACAACTGATCACGAACACTGGATAACTGAAGTCGAATACCAGACTATAAAGCACAGTAGAACAAACACTATACACAGCATATCAGAGAAAGAAAGCTTTTTTATTTTAATAATATACTACAAGTAAAAACTGAACAGTTGTGAACCACATTCAATCCTACTAAAGGACATCTAAACATAATTATTAACAGGTCGCCAAAAAACTTCCCCAAAGTAGCTTTCCAAAATGAAAAAACTTCCCCCCTACAACAACAACGCTCAACCCACATTCAGAATTACCTGGCAGAAAAGGGGAGGAGCTGTTTGTTGCTTTTCGTTTCAGCAATCTTTTCTGCCAGTTCACCGACTATTTTTTTCTGACAGAGTTGGGCTAATTTTAAAAGTGTGGTTTTACCCTTAAACTGGTCTAGGACACTTTTGTCCACCAGGAATACTTCAGCAATTGCTGCAGTGTCTTTCACAGCATTCCTGGAAACATGAGCTTTCTTAAAAGCTTTGGTCATCTTGAAGCCTCTCTGCAACAGTTTAAGGCAGTGCCGATATCTTCTCACCACATCTGAGATGGAAGACACTGAAAAATAAAGAATACATTAATGTCAATAAATGTTATTGCCCCTCAATAATTGTTGTGGTGTGTATTCAGTGCAGTGTCTTAGTTGCAGGGTGAGCCATAGTGTTTCTCACATATTTTCTCTTGAAAAGGGACCACAACTTGGATGAATGTGTGTGACTTCCATTTGTTTTAGAACATGTGTTGTATTTTATAGTAGGTACTAGGTAGTGTGCCTGTATGCGCAGTGTGCAAATCTAGTTAGATAATTGGCTATTTATTGATAAAAAACATATTGGTGGTAAAAACTGGTGAGAACATTATTTATATTTCATTATTCATTACAGGTTCAGCTCAAACAGCCATAGTAGATGAGCATTAGAGGTGTGGACATTTCTCGATTTATAAGATGCATCGCGATGTACGATGCACTCTGAAACTACGGGGCGGCCGAGGACAAAAAATACACATGCGTTAATCGCGTTAAAATAATTAGTGGCGTTAATTTTTTTTTTATTTAACGCGTTAACTTGACAGCCCTAATTTATAGTTATTAAACTGTACAAATCTGCAGTGCAGTGATTTAGAGTTCCACCACAGCATAGTTCAGGAACCCGCCCCCCCGAACAAAACCAAAGAAAAGTACGAGTCCCCGCGGACAGTAGGGCACGTCTAGTCGCCTGGGTCGCCCATCCGCAGGACTTTACTTTGCGATGTAGACATCGTACATACACCCTCATAGACCACGGGAAGATGAAAAAAGGTGTAAAAACATTATGCCTAACCTAAGTAAACCGGAATAAATCAAACTTAACCCACTTAATTTCAAGTGCTGTACGCCTATATGAAAACAACACCCGGTATCTTACTACCTCGTAACTACACTTTTGAGTCAAATTTCAAGATCCAGATAACAACCCTAAAATAAGATCCAAGATACCCCAAACACACGAGCTCAAATGGGCAACCTCTCCAACACGAGAGCTAGAGATTCTCACATCAACAGAACCCATCCCCACTAGCGTACCGTAAAAATACTTCCACAACTAACAAGGATAAATAGATAGCGAAAACAACTAACAAGTCCACACAAAACAACACAATAACAACAACCCCCACAAAAAAAAAAACACCACAAAAAATAGACACTCAAACACCCAAAAAAAACCACCACACCAAAACTCACAACAAAACCCCCACAAGGTAGGAAATAATACCGTGAAACGGTGAACTACAACTGCATTGTCCATTAGCGGTCAGACTTAACCATAACGACGCGTTTGCCCAGGACCCGTAAATACTTCCCCGCGCGCGCGCGCGCGCGCGGGCGAGCGTGGAGGAGTATGACTTCGCGTTTACAGCCCGCGGCCGCGCCGCGGCGCGCACGCCATCCCCATCTAGTCTTACCCAACCGCCAGGTGTTAAGATCAGTGGCGAGACGAACACCGGTCGACAGCAAGGCTGGGAACGAGCACGTCTACATGCGCTACGGCTGAAGTAACACGGAAAAGGCACCCTCATGTCGAGTCAGGGTGTCGCGTACGAAGATGGGTATCTTAGCGCTTGACTATCCGCGAACAGACGGCGTCTAACGCAACATGCAAGATGCGTGCAGCGGGATTACGCGAGGCAACTTACTGTGGGCTCAACCTGAAAATGACAGACCTGTGCGTGTGTACTCGGCGCAGAGGATGTGGGTCCGAGTCCCGCCGAATCGAAGATCAGGAAAGGGGCCGTACAAGTCAAATCAAGTGCTGAGTGTCGAAGACAACCGGCATTGGGTGGCCAGTTTGTGTATGTTGATTTGGTAGACAGGGTAAAAGTGACTAGCATTGCGTAGACACCGACGGCAACTCCGAGGAAGATCGCAACGGCTGCAGAGAAGAGGATCCTGGAAGGGAGAACGGATCTGTGTACTGGACTAGAGACTCGAGATGTGTTGTTGGAAGGGACGATGTGCAGTGGTTCTCTGGCACCATAGGACCGAGACTATGCAGCCGTGACAAGTGCACTCTGAATATATGTGTGTCTGTCCACACAAGTGAAAGTTCAGTAGTTCAGGTTAGTTAACTGTAGACCTATTGGTCGAAATAAGGGGAAACTATCAGGGAAACAATTGGTCAGCAATGTGGATTATAGCAGTAGTTAGCAAACTGTTAAGTTTGTGCACTAAGTTGTCTGTTTAGTGTACGTAAGTTGTTGACACGCACGGTCATCTATATCGCTTAACTGAGATAATCAGTATCTGACTAGTTCGTCTATATTGAATGTATGCAACTTATATTCGTGAAGACCCATTGTGGGCGGGCGAAAAATAAAACTATCTATCTTGTCTATGGTGATTATTCAAAGTCAACTGGTAGTTGTGGACAAAGTTGTCAACTGATTAGTGTACTGTAATTCGTTGATTTCACGTCCATCTGATATGTAATTAGGTAATCAAACTACTAGTTGTCTATGTCGTTGATTTCAAGTCGAACTGACTAAGTGTAATTAGTATATCAACTACTACGTTTGTCTATTCCGTTGAAAATCTCAAAGTCAACTGATATATCGTAATTCGTAATTAACTACTAGTTGTCTATTCGTTGAAATCTTCAGAAATCAACTGATAATGTAATACGTAATCAACTACTAGGTTGTCTATTCGTTGAAATCTCAAATCAAACTGATAGGCAACTAGGCAGTTGATTAGGATCTCAACTGATAATCATATGAGATATTCACTCCAAGAGGTGATTCGCAAATCATCCTGTACACAATCCCTGATAGGTTAATTTCACTTTTTGTTCAACATCTTGTCATCTTCAGATATTGGATAGGTTGTTCTTGTCTATGTAGGTGATTTAAATAGTGGGTGTCTGCGTACCCTTATTTCGCTTTTACAAAAACGTGTCTGACTAGTTGCCTGTGACTTATTAACTTCAGTATTGTCCCGATTATTTCGTGTCATCTTGTTTGTGATATGTGTTCGCGTATAGTCTCTTCTCTTTCGCAAAAAATAAAAATTATTATTGATGAGTGTTCGATCATTTTGTGACTTGTCCGAACACTTTACCATTTTTATTTCAAAACTTTGTGTAATAGGATGTCGTACCATGGAAGTTATAGTCCGCCGTT